GGCACCATCGCGCCCATCGGATTGTCGCGGCACACGATCATACGACGCGGCGCGCGTTCCGCTTTTACTCGCGGCCCGCGGTAACGCGTAGCGCGAATAAACTACTACCACGGCGACGAGATCGCGCTCGCGAGCCACCGTCTCTCAACCGTCTCTCGCCGTCTCTCCTCGCCGCAGGCTCTGCCCCTGCCGCGGCCGCCCGCCGCCGCCGCCGCCGCCGCCGCCGCCGCCGCCGCAGCCAGTACGGAGCTATTCCGTGAGTCGCTCGAGTCGCGCGATACGAGCGGTAATCCCGTGTCGCGCGGACTAACGATAATGAGATCCGAGCGGGGTACACCGCACGCTCCAACACGCGCGTCAAACTTGTTCCCCGCGCGGAGTCGCAGGGCCGTTCAACTCCCCCCCCGCGGTATCGTCTTTCGGCTCTTTGCCCGACCGTCGGAATGTATTATACGCTCTGTCCAAGCCGATGGAACATTTCCGCGTCTCGGTCCTCGCAATTAACGGGACGGCCGACATGTCTGGGACACAACGCGCACAGTCCAACTCGTAACTTGGAAAACTTCACGCCCGGCCGTTTTATTACTTTATTCGACGCATAGAAGCGCGAGATTCCCTCGGAATGTAGTCGAGTGTCGGGTCCAAGTGAGACTGCCGTGTTTACGAGGAACGACGGCTGTCCGTTACGCAAAAAAACGCGTTGCTCGCGAGCTCGCCTTTGTTTACCTTCCGCGAACCGTCTCGAACCGTCTCGAACCGAGGACACGGGCGAAACAAAAACGAGGCGCTCGGGAATCTCGACGCTCGCGATCAGTCGCTGCGAGTCGCTCCGCGAGTGAGGACGGAGAGAGTCGCGATCTATTTCAGTGAGGATACAAAGTGAAGTTGAGAAACGTTTGATACGTTACTTTCCGTAACGATGCTGTTGGCCCAAGTCGCTCGACGACCGCGGGATCGTTTCGTCGATCGAGAGACGCGGTAGTGTTTCGCGCCAAGACCAATGGCGTGCACTAGCGCGCACCGAGTGCACCCTGAGGCCTGTTCACAGTCAATTTTGACACTTAACTCTGCCTTAAACGCGTGTTCGAAGAGCGTTTAGCTACAAAACGGACCCGTATAGATCCTATACGGGTCATTTTACTGGCTAAATACTTGAAGAGATATTTAAGACGATCCTTAATTATGCGAATTGACTGTAAACGAGCCTTAGTGTGCACTCAGCGTGCACTCGGAGCGCGCTAGCGCAAGCAATCCAATTGGCCGTATTACATTTGTCGTGCGACGAATGTTTCAAGCGCGTCGATTGGCCGCAGGATAGTAAAATCGCCGAGTATCTAGAAACTTTCTAGCGACAAATATTACGGTGAGACGCCCGCCTAGAGAGTTGGATAATCCAGGTTCATAGCCTGGCAGAGGTAATATTTTTCTGTATTAAAACACCGGCCGGTTAACGTAGAAACTTGAGCGGCCAGTCGACGCGCTTGAAAAAAGTGTGAGCGTGCGCAGCCAAGTAAACATCGACGGCGCGTTCGCGGTTGCACAAACACGGCTTACACGGCCCTGTGTGCGGCGAGGCAGCGGCGCTCGATCACGTGATCTTGTTCGAACCGTCGCCCGCGCGAGCCAGCGGCACGCGGTGCGTCGCATTCGTCGCGCGTTCGTATCGAGTCAAGTGTTTGCGGCATTTCGGCGCGTCAGTTGTCGCCGGGATTTCGGGCTAAGTGCGCGCGATAAGAGCGCCCGATCGCGGCGGTGTGTCTAACGCGAGGGTGCGGGAGTGTCTGTGCGAGGTGCGCGACTTGGCGAAGCTTCGCGAAGCAAGATGGCCGCTGGACGAGGCGCCGGTCGTTCGAACGGGAGTCTGTCAACGGCGGCGATCCTGCGGATTCTACGCATCCTCGAGCATCCCATGGACCCCACGGTGGCTGCTCCGACAACTTCCTATCGGTGAGTACGTGCTTTCCATTTCCTCTCGGTCAGTACTGGCCGCTGTCGCTCAATTCACTCGGCGAGTATATAACTACGTCGAATCGACATCGACGCCGTGAAATTGACGCCGATCCGACATCGGTCGACGAACCGTTTCTTTCTCGGCTTTTGAGAAAATCATTCTCGAACGAAACTCGGTATCTCTCGTAATAACATACACGAGAAAAGATGTAGCCGCCGTAGTTGTAAAATATGGACAGCTAATATTTAAGCCAACGGCACACGATACTATTTTTCCTACTGGATTGCTTACGAGAGCCAATCAGGACGCAGAGTTTTCGATCAGGTGACTCAAAGCTGAATCCTGGTTGGTTCTCGTAAGCAATCCAATAGGAAAAATAGTATCGTGTGCCGTTGGCTTTAGTTGTTACCCACGCAGCAAAAATGTCGCGAAGATGTCTCTGGGGGGGAATATCTAAATATTACAATATCTGAGAGATTTTGTATCAAATATCAGATATCTGTATTTTAGTGAAATCGGATTTTACGTATCGCAGAATACGCAACGCGACACAATATATTTTTTCGTTATCAGTCTCGGCATAAATTATCGAGGAGCACGGCCTCCATAAACCAGCCTTTACTTTTTTATACTACTAGAACAACACAAGCGCGCGCTTCGCGCGCGCCATTGTTCTTCCACATTATATTACATAAAGCCTGCGTTCGTTTTCTCCCACCGAGAGCATAAACTATACTGAAAGTCTATAATTTACGTAACGTAAACTATAGAGTTTCAGTATAGTTTATGCTCCCAGTGGGAGAAAACGAACGCAAGCAAACTGTCAAAATAACCCTCTTAAATACAAACTGTCGAAACCGCAAGTCGAAGTGAACGACTCGCAACGAGATCGAAACATAAATTGTCAAAATAACCCTCTTAAATACAAACTGTCAAAACCGCGAGTCGAAGAGAACGACTCGCAACAAGATCGACACTCGATCGAGTTTCGAGAGAGCCAATCGGTATCGCGGAAAAGCGGAAAAGCGACAACAATGAACTCGCAATGCCTTTTTTAGATAGGGATTATCGTAAACCGAGGGGTAAATCAATGTGGTGTACAGATTTGCGGCATTATTGGGCATTACTGCACGGTTGAAAAATTTGTGTTAAATTTAACAGATATCACACGTCCCAAACGGTCGACACAAATTTTCGTGTTAATATTTTAACACCAAATAAATGCAAAATTTGAAATAAATTTTTGTATAAAGTTAACATATTTTTTGTGACAAAATGAATTTAAAGAAATGTAATTTTTACAGATGTAATAAGTTAAATGACGGTTCGAAATCACTCTCGCTTATGCTACATAGAATAAAATGTTGATTTTAACAGAAAAATGTTACTAATAATATAGAACATATGTACTGTGTAAGATTAAAACACAAGTACACATTGTGTTGCTTTAACATTTCTTTTCAGTTATTCTAATAATTTTACATTTGAGGTCAATCAATACAAGAGCAATATGTTAAATTAACACATAAACGTGTTGAACATTTAACACAAAAATTTGAACCGGCATTTTTTTTAACAAGAAAAGACAAATTTTCCAACTCGTCGCTCAACTAAAGTAGTTTAATTCATGCTTGCCTCTTTCTAACCGGGCGTAAAAATATTTCCGGTAAGCTATGGAAAATAAGGGCGCCGTTAAGTCGGAAATTTAACACATGTATCTATGTGTGGACACTATAAACATTTATTACACCATGTAAGTACAATTGAACACCGAGGGGTTGCTAAATTATTGTTATTACTTTTGTTATTTATCATCGTTACATTATTATTGTTATCGTTTATTATCATTGCCTATTAATACATTTATGCCATGTCAGTTGCGACTCGGCGCCTTCATAAATAATATACTTTGTCTCCTTTAAACAAATACATATTCTTTTAAATACATAATTTTTTCTCTTTCTCTGTACAGTCTATATACACGTAATATGTATATACTTGTATACTCTATACGCGCGTATACATAAATATACATACTGTTTGCTTTTTTTTTCCTCGAGGCATTCGAATCTGTGATACGAACGAATAACAAGCGATAAGCGAATTATGCGGATATACATGGAAAGATTTCGCTTTTTCTTTGCTCGCGCGCACGTATGAAAGTGTGCACGCTCGGGAAACCAGAAGCGTCTCGTATCGTTTAGATGTTGGTTTGTCCGGACCGAGATGAGACGATCGAATTGGATGCAAAACGAGTTAGCCGGTGACACCTCAAAATACACGTAACACATACGCCACGAATCTCGGTACTATTCCAGCTGACACTATCGAGACTCTTATTACTCTACTATCTATCAAGTCTAGCCTAAAGGTCTAAAAAGTATTAGCAGCCAAGAAAGATGGTTTGCATTTAATCGATTAACGAAACGTCAACGCTGTAATAATCGTTTATTGTCATGCAAATTCGCGGTAATTCAAACTCAAGTTGACTCCAATTCTCATGTTAACTCACTCGTATATTAAACTCGAAAAATGTATCGTATCGATTGAATATTAATTCTCGTTTGAAATATTATTATAATACTCAAGAAGACATTTCCACGATTCAATGTACATTTTCGAATTTACATTTTCACGCAACTACCGACTGGTACTGTATAACGTACAAACTCTTTCCCCGTATAATAGTTTATCATCGAGATAAATTAAGCAGATCCATTATTTTCTTAAGTGAAACAATAATACGAGGATCGTATCGTTTGAGTTTCTTTATAATATATGCCTTCTACAATAGAATAAATATGAATTTACTTCTAACTGCTAGAGATATTGTAATATTAATCGTAAGTTAAATTACGGTATAAATATTATTATATTAAATCAGTCTCAATTTGATAAATAAACGAGTAAAATTGTTAGAGAGCGCGCATATACTTGTGCATATTTCCTAGCAACTTGATTGAGTTGTCGCTCGGATACACACAGGTATATTCGCCGCAACAATATTGCACTCGGCTCGTATTTCTCTATCAAATTGACTCTTATTCAATTTTTTTTTTAAATCAAGCCATTGTCCCGTTTGCATTTAAATCATATTGTACTATCCGTGTTCAGTCTTAGTCGGCTAAATAAACCCGAGAAAAAATCATAAAAGGTATTTTCAAATCAGATAAGAAAACTAAGTAAAAGCATAAGACGATATCTACTCGATTTGGGTCCCACAAATTAGTAATTGTTTCAACAGTTATCCTCGTGCGTGTACAGGGTGTTTCTTAATAAGTGCGTACAATTGCGGAAGATGACTCTTTGTCGAAAATTAAGGGACGTTTTTTCATATAAATACATATACTCCTACATTCCTCTCCGTGGAGTTACACTCCTCCAAAAAATGGGGTTGTTTACTGAGCAGCGCACATCACTCCGCGCTACACTCGTCACCGAACAAAGACAAAGAATCACCTTCTAAAATTTCATCAAGAAACATCCTGCATACAGGGTGTTCCAGGAGGAATATTCTCAGAGGTGATAGTATCAGTCACACACTCGCACACACACACACACACGCACACGCACGCACGCACATACTTTTTAAGCAAAAATGTTGATACGAATACATGTCCCGTTCCCCACTGTTTCCGAGATAGAGCATATTTTGTCGACGTCCTCGTTCGGATAAAGCGTGAACACTGGGAAACGTTCACACTTTGGCGCAATGTATTGAAAACCTTGGGGAAACAGAAACCGTTCGACACTTGTGAATATGCGAGGCATTTTCAACATTTTTACAATGTTATCGGCACAACAGTTAGCAGACGTTTATGAGGCTGGACGATAGGTCAAGTGTAGAGAAAAGAAGTAAATACGCGGGACATTCAAGTAGCTCTATATCGGAAACAGTGGGGAATGAGACGTATATTCGTATCAAGATTTTTGCTTAGAACGACCGTTGCTATCACCTCCCAGAATATTGACCTTTCCTCCTGGAACACCCTGTATACCACACACCACACCAACGCACGCGCACGCACATATAATTTCACATTTAGTTCACATTTAACATTAAAGTAATTGTGCTTAACTTTAGCTCTTACACGTTGGAACAGTTTAGTGAATTTTGTCATGTGTCTACTCCGTCGTGACGCGTCGATAATAGTGAAGAATATCGTATTTAGTATGAGCTATATTAGCACAGTCGCGAAACCGTCTCTACACATTTTTGTGTGTTTAAAATTTTATTGGAACTTAGCGACTATCCCCTAATACACGAGGAATGTGTGGATAATTAAATCCCAAGTTTAGTGTCTGATCTTTAGATATATAAATTTGACGATACGAATCGCGAATGCATTATCGCCGTATATTTAGAGATTACCTCTTATTCGTAACTTATATAAAATAATATAATCTTGACTTTTAAGCGTACGTGCCGCGCGATTCATATCACGCGTTATTAGAAACATAAATATTCATCTCGTTAAGCTATCTATGATACATCAGTTTTAAAAAGCACCTGCTTAGAAAATGCACTCCGACGGTGAACCCTTTTTTTTTTTTGTTTATCTCTTGAGCTCTGCGATTGATATCAATTGTCAATGATTTGTCATGGCAGTAGAAAATGGCAGCTTATTAACGAGTTTCAACTCGTCCGAATATTGAGATAAAGATGAGAGGGTCGGTTCACAGGCTAACATTGAGATTCGTTAGAAATTGTTTCTTTGGTTTCTTTTCTTCTTTGTTTTTTTCCCCCTTGTTTTGCGGCAAGCATATAGCCCTACACGCCAAGTGACATTCTCTTAGGCAATAATAAAGCCCCGTTTCACGAAAGAACAAGCGAAAGAAATTGCTACGGTAGCGGTATATCCATTCAATCGCTCGAAGTCGACGGTTTGCTGTCTAGTGTCTGCTCGTAAAGATGAAGCGCTCTATGAATAAATTCATATTGTTCAGCCGTTTGTACCATCCCTCCTCTGTCGTATCTAAAATATTAAAAAGTATGGTGTGGTTTGTACATTGCTGAAATGTTGACGAGATTACGTTACACGCGAGTGCCTTACCTCATCTGGCACAAAATACCGAGTACATCGACATTTCCGTCTCTCAGAAGCTGAATCATTCCTATCCCTATCGCTACAAAACAGCCAGTTCGTCCTATACCCGCGCTGCAGTGGACGACTACTGGTCTTGGTGAAGCGTTTACCTCTGCGGCCATACTAACGAGTGCGTCCGCAGTTTGAGGTACGGCATGGTCCGGCCATGAATCATACCTGCCGATAAAATTTGTCATTAAACACGAGCGCAAAGGCGCCTAGTAGGGTGGAGTAAGATTGAATATAGCGAGAGAGTATTAGAGTTATCTGAAAATGTAGCAGCGCTGCTTACCAATAGTGCTGCAAGTTTCTTCTCTCTCCTTCGTTCCGGATCTCCATAGTTCTGACGGTATATCCGTTTCTCGTATCCGTATAGTTAACGATAATTGTGAACGGTCCGGCTTGTATGCGATTATTTACGTCAAAGGGAAAGTACGCCTCGCATTTTGGTTTGGACGTTTCGTACAATCTAGTTATCATGACGATCGCAGAAACGTTTTCCACCCAGACCATTTTCCAGAAATCCGCTATCGTGTTGGCTAATGGTCCCTGTGTCGCGATGTATCTAGCACTTTCGCCGTCGTATCCCTGCAAATTGGCGTTGTAGCTTTTCAGTTGTTTTCCATCGCGCAAAATTTGCCGACCATTTACTCACGCGGATGTAGTTGGCGTTTATGTAACCGGCGAGCGGATCGTCGGAGGAACTTGGTAGAACCACTCTGCTCTGTGAATTGGGCAAGACGGAGCTGTATCGATTCTTGACCCCCGAGCCGCAGATGTCGACCTTTTCCGGTAGGTTTAGCGGCACCTCCCAGAACTCTTTGTGCAACGTTCCCGCATTTTGGGCAACCTTCTTCAATTGCGCCCTCGACAGTACATTTCCCGCGCTTAGCAGAAACTCCTCCGTCGTACATTCTCGGGTAGGAGTGACCATATGTGGCGGACTTTCGGGAGCTGGCGCCAATTCTATGGTTAAACTCGTGCTCGAGCCACGTCTCTCGAGCAATCCCTTCGCTTTGACACGTACCGCTTCCGGTTTGCGTTCGGGCGTGACCAAAGGCTTGTAACGTAATTACCAAAGTTATTTTCGACACGATACAATTTAATTGCGTCGCGCCCAATTACGTGAATGGGTTTCTCTTACCTCGGGTAAAGAGGTCTGAGGGACCGGGCGTACCGGATACTTGGGTGCAGATTGCTTGGCGAATGCCTCGTGAACCCATTTAGCTTCCACGGATTCCTTTGCGTCTTTCGTGGATTTGTCTGGCTGACAAATGGCACCTTCCTCGACCAGACCGTGCCGATCGCCATTTTCGTTATCTTTTTCACGCGACATTTGTTTTCGTAGCCATAACAAGATCTGTGGGAAAGTATTGAGAGTACGGTATCCGAATCAGTCGGCTTTCGTAAGTCTAGAGAAGCTTTTGAAATAGTCTTTAAACGAGCTTTCGATATTTCTATATCGTAAAGAAATGTGTGATGCTTACTAGGAATGTAAAAAGAATAGTGCCAGCGATTGCACAAAGCGCTACAAAGTAAGGCAACTGCCAATCTAGCCATGATAAAGTCGTCCTGGAATGTACTTCCTTGTCTGTCTGACTATTGAGTTGGGCCACTTGGAGATCCATTCCAGCATCATCCAGTCCTGTCACGGACTGCCGGATTCTGTATTAAAAATACTTTGAGACAAAGAAGAAACCTTAATATTTCGTGAAACATTACCGGGATATGATTACAGCTGGTATTGTCAATTGTTTGCACAACACGTAAGCATTACCTGTGCTGGGATCTCGTAGGCATTCCCTTCGTAGAGGGCAATAAGGAGATTGGCACTAGTGTATCCTTACGCCGGTTTTGTGCAATGATTAGATAAAATTTTTCCAGGGGATTTATATTATCGCTATTGGTGATTGTTGCATCATAATAATTAATATCATTTGCATGATGATGAATCAAGGAAACACTTGTACCATCTATAATGAAAATAATACTAAAATTGCACACACAGACTGAACGTAACTAGAAGCTTTGCGATATTTGTCAAGCATCGTTCAATGAATGTTGGGCAAAATTTCTTGCTCGTGTATATATGTATATATTTCAGTGTTGTCATTTTTCCAGCCTTCGACAAGATGTTGCAAAAGTTGTTAACATGTGACTCGAGTCGCAACAAACGCAACGTTATTCCGCGTATGTAACGAGTCGAAACAATTGGTTAATTCTCATGTTCTGACCGATAAAAAGAGAATCGTGTGAAATAAAAGCGGGGAGACGGACGAGAAGTGGGATAGGGACACGGAACAGATGTAAAATCGTCCATTTGTCATGTGTTAGCCATGAATCGCAAATACATATTGCAACGCGTACATACGGCTGGCACGCACGCACGCACGCACGCACGCACACACGACAATCAGCCCGCGTCATACACTATCCCGAAGTCGGAGCATCGTGAATAAATCACATCCTGTTTTCTCGTTGATGTAATAATAGCGAGCGGATATGCACGGGTGTTTGCGAGCGAGCGGACGAGCGAGCCGAGAGTCACTTTTCACGCTGATGTTTGATCGATACCTTTCGTCAGCACCACATATGACATTATTGCGAGCAGCGGATAACTGACACGTGATTTACGGGCACGATGCTCCGAGGATGGGGATCGTGTGTACGGCGATGCGGCCATATTGCGGTGGAGTCGAAACACAGGCAAACTCCTTGTCGGAACTACCCGACAGACGCTCCGTTTCATATGCCTTGACCCGGAGCTTCGGTTCTATTCATAGTTGCTTGACGATCGTTTCGCATTCCTCTCGGTCTCGCGTGTAGTACGCCGGGAGTAAGCGGCGGCCAATGGGGCAGCGACGGCCTCGTCGGCCCATTGGCATCGACCAATCGCCGCGTGAATGTAAACGCTTGTACCGTGTTATTCACGGGTGGGAGTTGGCGTGAATGAAAGCGGAGCACGTGCGATTAATGACTGTAATGTCACATTCAGGAATGAGTTGTACGTTTATCCGATGCGCGAGCGGACGCTGCCTCTTCTCCGAGTAACCGATTTTTCGAGGACCAAACCCCGTACTACGTGTCGTACGAATTGTCAGTGCGTCGAGTGAATCGCATTCTTTTTCAAACTTGCCTCGACACCGTGCGGCTGATCCATTTTCATCTCCCTGCGCGATTACCCAAAATGGTCGCTCAAAAAGATACTTTGAATCAAGATTACCTTGGAAAACGCTCCCTTTAACAACTAGTTTCAGGAACAAAGTGGGATAAATCAAAATCGTTCGATACATTGCTTACGATTTTCCAACACTCGAATTGGTTCGCGTAAACAGAAATTGCCATATAAATAATAGTATCGTGTATAATATAGCGCCCTCGAATCGGTACTCGATTTGCAATTGAAATTTTTAATTATTTAATTGAAAAGTTGTTCCTGAAATGCTCGTATTTTTCATCATCGTCTAAGATTCATTAATTAAGATTCAAACGTTAGTCATTGAGTTCAACGATGGCAAAACACCCACGATCTTACCAAACATCTTACGTACATGTACTTCTCAAGAATATAGCGATGATTCACGAAACCGGATGTCCATATTTGCCGTTTACGCTTGCTCAAGCATCACATTCATTCATTCCGCTACAAATGTACATTATTTGCGTTTTATTTCGACATCTCTCTAGCTCTAGTTTTCGTGGTGCGATCGAGTTACGAATAAATTAATGTAAATTCTAATAACGACGAAACCCGACACTGTTTACTTACCGGCCATAGTACGGTAATGGCAACCGTCATTGATCATTGTTGTAGTGGCTAAAAAAATCAATAAGCACACCGGAACTGATTGTTTGACTCCGCGTGCCTCGGTTTCACAGTAACGTAAATAAACCACTTGGTCGTTTCGTGAGGAAAGAGAATATGCCTATCTTGCGACTTGTAAAATTAGAAATGATTGGAAAATCTCTATTCAACACACATTAAAAGAGGAAAAAACGTTGGAAGCTCACGCCCTTCTGATTCGTGTTACGAATAAATAAAATAATAGGAAAAAGTACTTAGTAAATACGAGAATGAAGAAATATGTAATATACGGCGACGTATTCCCAGGCGACGGAGAAGCTTGCACGAATGTCAGGGCAGCCCTCGCGCTCCCAACTGACTCGATCCCCATTCATTCTTCCACAGGAAGCTTGCGAGTTTTCGTAGGGCGCACGCACCCAGGGATATACGCACTTGCGTAAAATTGCGTTGACGATTGGTCGAAGAAAGGAAACTCGAAAGCTCGCGAATGATTTCTTAACGATAAAATAACAAGATTTGCTCAGTAGAATTTTCCGTATCGACAAGTCGGTACACGTATGACAACATTTGACAAATAATCATAAACGATGCACACAGTTTTATTGTTGACAAAAAATAGCGTTTCCTTGATTCAATAAGCGGCTGTTTTACGCGCAATTGTATGCGAAAAGAATACACGCCATCGAATCGATTCCGATTTCAGAGTTGGTATAAGAATGATAAAATTAATAATTTTATTGTATATACACATTCGTAAGAGAGTAGTCTCTCGTAAAAAAATGGCAACATGTATTACCAATGGATACAAGTCGGTTCAAAGACAATATCTGCGGTCGTGTACCTTATAAATGATTGCAAACCATGGACATTTGATAGTGGCTTGATTCGAAAGATCGTACGAATCGTTTAGCGAGAAATGAAAATGGTGTTGTACTCGACATAGAACGCAGTGCATTAATGATATTGCGCAAGACTTGCACGGAAACGCTTTTGGATGGTAAGGTCGTAACACACATGCACTCGCGTTCATTCGCGTTTGGTCGTATACCTTGCCGAGGCGAGTGAGAAGAGGGTCCCTTTCCTCCTTTCGAGGTGGTCTGTCACGTCTCGTTAAGACATTGTCGCGATCGACATGGTGGTGAAGGATAAAATACGATGCGTAGCCCCGCAGATAGATTGCGCGGATCGGACTGCGTCGGGTCGGACTCGCGTCGAGCGCATCTGAATGGCGTCTGAACGGATAGCAAAATGACGGCCAACTGCATTCACCTCTTTCGCGCTGACCGCCAAGGGGTGGCGAGGGGATGGAGTGCAGCAGACGCGCGCATTCGTGACACGGATACGATTCACCGAGCCACCCTTCCCTCTGTAGCGGTACGTGGCCTCGCCCCTCGTACGTACCATCGCGGCACCCAACGACACCCAACGATACCCCTGACGAACGCGGCGGAGGAGCTTTCGTTTCCTTGGAGCTTCAATTTTTCCCGCAACGCTGCCTTCATCTCGCTTATTTATTATAGAAAAACTTGTCTCTCGACTCGAGAGTCGGCGTGACTTTGGAGATGGAACAAAATTTCCCCATTCACCCACACGTTCTGGCGTTAATTCGCCTTCCCTTCCAGCTGCCGAGTCATTCAATCGCCGTCTTCTCCTCGTTCGGCGAGAAGTAGCATTTCCCCACGGGCGGTAATCGCTACCGAAATTTTTCTTTTTACTATCGCGTGCATCAATTATTCCCTGCTTTGCGACGATCAATTTTTCTCCGCTGTTATTTACGATGCCCTGCCTCCCGGTTATATTTTGCCTCATCTCCGTTTCCCTTCGAACGCCGAAACGCAATCGACAGAGAAGAGGAAGGAAAAAGGAGAACGATAGAGGGTGGCAAGGTTAAGTAAGAGCAAAGAGGAGGGAGCGTTGAATGAGAACTTCTAGGTCGATGAAAGGGTGTAGAGGGAGGGAGACAAATCGGCCTTCGTAACATGGGAGGGTGAAGAAAGGAGACAGAATGTAGGCTAGTCTCGTTGGCGAACAGCGTCCCCAATCGATACGCACGCAGCAAACTTCTACGCCCTCTCCCGTTCTATCAATCTCTCATTTTATTACATTTTATTTAAATTAATTGATATTGATCATTTCACAAATAAGCCAACGAGAGAGAGAGAGAGAGAGAGAGAGAGAGAGAGAGAGAGAGAGAGAGAGAGAGAGAGAGAGAGAGA